CATTTATAGGCATTTAGCGCCCACTACGTCACTGTTATTTATTTTTCACTAACTCTCCACTATCAACATATGTTTAATCCAATTAATCCCTCACTTAAACATTTCATTACCCACTATGAATGTATTAACTTTCCACTCACCTCATTGACTACTATAAATCAACCATCAATTTATTTGGCAAGGACACCACTACGACATGTTTCTTTATCCATTTCATTCAAAATTTAGTTATATTTTTCTTTGTAATGAGTTGTTAGAACTCTAGCTAAGGCTAAAGTGAAAGTCCTTTGAGTAAGTTAGTGAATGTCCTTTGAGTAAGTTTGTGAATTGTTCTTTAATCCAATATATAGTATGAATTGCTAAATATTTTATTTTTGGTTGTTCAATATTTTCATATCCTTTTATTTTGATTGATGTTAAGTGCTACTATCTTTTCATTAACTCAATTATATTTTTCTCATTGTTAAGAATTGACTTTGCATGCTTTTAAATTAAAAGATTAGATATTAAGCAATTCCATTTTCTGAACAATCATTAATAAAAGATAACATTGAAAAATTAAATTAGTTTCAATTTCTTTATTCTAGTTAAAGTTTCTCAATGATAATCTTAATCGAGTTATAATTCGGATTAAAGAGCATGAAACATATTTTACTTAAAGAATTGAACCTTGATGCCTTAGCATTTCCATTATTGATGATAATTCATTTTAAAACCCAATCTCTACAACACTCAAATCAAATTACTTTTCTATTTTGCTTGTCACTTTTATTTTGGTACTTTTAATTATTTCTTAGTGTGTAGACTTTTGCCTACATGCTCATTGAGAATACGATACTTGGACTTCCAAGATTATTACTATGTATGACTACTTGCACTTGGGTAGACGCAACATTGATCAATATCAAGTGGCAACTTACTTGACATTTAGAATGCACATTCATTGTTTAAGCTCCTAAATAAATGGCATCAAGAGGATAGAAAGACTTCCATAAAATGGAGATAATACTATTCACTATTCCTAGTCAATAACGTTATGACACGCGTGATAACACTTCCACGTAACATAACATTATTGGCCGAGAATAGCAAAATAATGTTATCTCTATTGCAACTAAAATTTTCTAGCATAAAAAGAGGAGGAACCATTTAGGCATTGTTCTTGTTGGTCTCAACAAGAGTGAATGTTTATGCTTGAGAATCAAGGTGAACATTGAGAGAGAGAGAGAGAGAGAGAGCAGAAGATTTCAGCTGAATTTTTTATATCATAGAAACTTGTTTTTATCTTCTTTGTTTTTCTGAATAGTTTGGTAAGAAGTATGTTATTAAAAGATTTTAGTTGAATTGGGTTCTTTCCACTACAAGGCAAAGGCTTGGCTTATGAGTGGGTTGGTGAGTCTACAATTTGGTCTCACATCCTCTTCTATTATTCTCCTTTGATGGTACCATTACCAACCCTACCAACCTCAGTCAAAAATAAACAAGTCATTTCCAACATGTTTAATTAAGGAAAAAATTACTTTAAAACCATTAATCATAGCTTAAGCCATTGTCTTAACTGAATCAAATTGCTGTTAATCCAAATCGAAGAGGCAAAAAGGACCACAGGTGGCATGATCCAATCGATGTGAAGCGTGGCTTCGCACTACTCTCCTGTGATTATAATAAGCAATGTCAATTTCATGGAACATGCTTTTATTAAATGTGAAAATTCAATTCAATCAAAGCCTTTGAACATCAAAGTCACATGGACGTGTTTAGTGCCGGCACCTCAAAACATTTACTCAACAAGGACGTGGTATGGTGGTAGACCTTATTGTCTTTTTCTATTTCCCTTTTTATTTGACAAACCATATATAATTGATTGTTAATATCAAATTCACTTTTGTTGGCTGTAGTGTTTTAAAGCATAATGTCTTCACAAATTTCCATTGCACCGATGGTGACAGTCACTTACGCGTGTATATTTAGTTGTTTATCGTAAATTTATGTGTGCACTATCATAGGACCTATATAATCAACGGTTAATAATTACTCACACATAAATATGTGATTATCCTTACATCGTTCAATCCTGACATCAAACAGTAGTTCAATACTTCATACACGAATTATAGCCATCTATTTAGATGAGGAAAAATAACTCGAAATTTAGTCAAAAGTAAGGTATTTAAGAGGAGAAGTTGACAATTTTTATAGTGCGATTTACAAAATTTTGTCATTTACAAAATTTGACATACATAAATCCAAATACTGAAATATTTAATTGACATAAATTGAAATGATGGAAATATAAATTTCGTCATTTTAAAATTTTATATAATTTTCAATTCCTTCATCCAAACTGAGAATAGTAATTCAATAATTTATGAGCTAACTACATAAATAAATACTTCTATGGTTTGGAGGGTTCTATATAGTTAATCGATAATCGCAGAAGCTGGTCCATAAAAATCAATCAGTCAATTTATGGAAAGCCCATTAAGAGCCCATAAATTGCAGATCAAAGCCCAAATTGAGAAGCCCAATAACGAGTCAGCAACGTGTCGGTGGTTGATAAAGGACCGTCAAAGTTTAAAGCAACAGAAAACGACTTGTGAGGTGCGTTTGTGAGCAATCTACGTAACACTTGTAGCTATCTCTTCTTCTACACGTCTTTCTCTTCACAACTTTATCTTTATATATAAAAAAGAAAGTCCCCTCATTTTCCATGATTGGTTTTCTTTTGGACTTTTTAGCCTCTCGCATACGAAAAAGGGAAAAACTTTATGGGGAAGATCAAGCCTTTCAAGCAGGAGTTCTCATTTGGTTTGATTTTTCCCTCCTTTTTGATTTCAATCATTTACAGAAAGGCGTTTTTCTTGCAATTTTTATTATGGTTTTGATGATTTTGATTCAGATGAACGAATTGAAGAATCGAAAAATATCATCGCAAAATACCCAGATCGAATTCCGGTTAGTTTTCATTTATGATTGTTTGTTTTTTAGTTTTCTTTGTGAGTTTTGTTGTTTTTTTTTTAATTTAATATTTATTTAAATAAGAATGGAGTAATAAATATATATGATTCAGAAATTCCAAGATACTGGGATAAATAATGCACTAGGAAATTGGAAACAAGGAGATTTGTTCTTGTTTGTGTGTTTTTTTTTTTGTTGCTTTCGTCTTTGGTAGACCTGAGTTGGTTTTAATGTTTGACCAGATTGAGAGATGATAATGTTTTAGTGGCTGAGAGCTTTTTTTTGGGTGTGTACTTTGAAATGGCAAATTTGTAGTTTGTGTACAATCATAAGGCTTAATTTTATCAGAATTGACGCAATTAGGCTATAATGGAGAAGCTGTCAAAACTGATCAGTGTGTTCTTTGTATGTCTTTCTGCAGGTGATCATTGAAAGATATTCCAGGACAGACCTGCCTGAAATGGAAAAGAAAAAGTATGTTCTAGTTGTCACAAATTCACAATTCTCTGCATTTTTGTCAAGGCCAAAGTTTCTTGTGTTAAGAACTAACTTAAATGTCATATTACACGTACATCTGAGGTTCAATTTTTTAGAAACTTTAAGATCCATGCATTATCCATATGTTTATTGGTCAGTAAAGTTTCCGTCTCGAGGTCCTTTGGCATTGGTACTCTCCTGGTTTCTTTAGTGTACTTATAATAGTACTAGGATATTTCAGTTTGTATATTAGTACCCTCATCCTAACTATATAGCTCTTTGTTCTAGCGAAACCGAGAGCTTTGCTTCTGTTACTTGCTCTGTGTTTTGAGGATCTTTTGGCATGTTTTGCTTGCTTTTCTATGCTTTAATAATAGATGTATGCTTGGATGAATTTTCTTTTATCTGCAGTTCGGTATAATCTGAATGTAGCTACTTAGTTCTAGAAGTTCTTAACACAGATTGAATTGCCTTCCGGAATATTTTAGCCAATTGTTTTTGCATTCTCACTTTAAGGAGAATAACCTGTATACCGTGTTTCCTTGTTTCATATAGATTCTTGGTTCCAAGAGACATGTCTGTCGGGCAGTTTATTCATATCTTAAGCAGCAGGCTTCACTTGACTCCTGGGAAAGCTCTTTTTGTCTTTGTGAAGAACACATTACCTCAAACAGGTAAAACACACATTATTGATTCGGCTACCAGTTTTATTTAGATTCTGCACGACATTGAGAACTTGTTAACACATTTTTCTGTGGATTTCATTTACAGCCAATCGTATGGATTCCATCTACGAAAGTTACAAGGAGGATGATGGTTTTCTGTATATGTGTTACAGCAGCGAGAAAACCTTCGGCTGATCTTTCCATCTCCTCCCCTAATTTATCTAATCGTTCATATTAGCAACTTGTAAGTATCTGTTGTTAACTTGTTCTCATTGCGAAAGGGGCCTGTGAGGCTTGCTTCACTGTATTCTTTCATGTTCATTGTAAATTTGATTTATTGTGAATTCTGTAAAGTTCATGACCTTCAATAATTCCATATTTTCATTCCAATGTCGACTTTCTATAATAAATATCACCACATAAGTGGGTTCAATCCTAACCAAAAAATTATCAAACAAGAAAGGGGAGAACTTGTAGAACTTGTGCTCTGGGAATGTGCTTGCCTTTCTTTTTATTTTAACGTTTTCTATTTTCAATACATTTCCATACTACGTACTCAGCAGTAGGACGTCTGAGTGATTATAGAATATTACGGTAGTACGACCATATTGACAAGATGGATGAGAATCTTTTCTTTGAGATGGTTGAGAACATTACACCACATAATTTCATACGAATAGTGCATCAGAAATTCCATGGAAGCAAAGTTACATGCCGGAAAAAGTTGCATGAAAGGAAAACAAAAAGAAGACAAATGATATTATTATTCAGATCACCGAAGGCCAGGAGAAGTGATACAACCATATTATTCATAAATGAACGAATATTTTTTCAACACCATATTTGAGACGAGGTTTTTGGTACATACAGCTACAGGCAGGCAGTCGCTTACTATTTATTCTACTCTAGCGCACTAGCAGTTCCATGCACAGTGACCTCAGCCTCCACGGTACAACTATCATCCACCAAGAACCTGTAGTTCGTGTTTGTCAACCATGCGACTGTAATGAAACTCGGCCAGCCCAACATGGGACTGGAGGCACTGACCCACCGAGTAACTGCAAGATGAAATGAAAAAGAAGAAGAAAAAAGAATGAAGAGCTAAAGACCAATAATTAAAAAGTGCAAAGAAAAGAAAACCTCCTCACTGTGTAGGGGATGGTGATGGATAGAACTAGGTCAATCTATTTACCTTTATATTCACGGTGATAGCTGCTGCTGTATCGATTTAAGAGGCGCAGGGTATACTGTGCATAGATTTTAGAGGTAGGAGGCAGAGATGTCGGATCAGTTAATGCCAAATAAAGAGCGAGATGGCCACTCAACTCATCGTCTCTTCCCTTCGGATACAGTTTTATCTTCCTGCAACAAGCAACAAGCAACAAGCATTTTTAGATAAGATTACCTGCACTTAATAACTTCTGCAGCAAGTTTAGTTTCCATCTGCAAACTTTACTGCTTTTTTGGCATACAATTTACTCATCTCCTTTATTTTGTTATTTTGTTTTTTGTTTTGGTTGGTAAACTTTCTCTAAAACTTTAACTGATTCTTTACCATCTTCATGTAAGTAAAATTTGCACAAGGAAAGAGAGAGAGAGAGAGAGAGAGAGAGAGAGAGAGAGAGAGATAAGAAGGACATAAAAAGCCTGTAAAGAAGGATGTATTAATCAATGAGGAGGCTTATGTACCATTTTTGGTCTCCAGCAATGAATGTTTGTGAGTCATAGCTCTCCGCGTTTAACTTTGAGAAGTTGTCAATTTTCCAAACATGCTTGTACATAATGGCACCCTTGATCATTGATAGACACTCTCCTTTGCATGTGCTTCTTTCTTTACGAACAAAGACCTCCGCTCCAAACACGCAGGTGTCTTCCACGAGAAATCCATTGGAAGCGTCAGTAAAAGCTTTGAGGGAGAGGAATTTATCAAATCCCCAGTCTAACTTCATCCCATGGAAGCACCTTTCATTTTGGTCTAAGCAATGCATATGACATAAAAAGAAAAGAATCAGAATATGGGGCAGTACTTTGTATACATGAGAAACATTGGCTTATCTGTTCTCTGCTGTATGTTTAAGAATAAAATGAAAAGAAATGGTACCTTGAAGAGCCAAGTACTTGCCAATATTCTGATCAAGCAAAAACAACCTGAAAGCAGCATGCACTTCCCAACAAGTCTGGGGGGCATTTGCTCCAGCCAATACTAAGTAGAGAGAGATGTGCTCTTTCACATTCCTG